GAGTGTAATAGCAAACTCCTAAAGGAAGAGACAAAAATCCAATGTCCATTTAGTGCTCATGAGCCCTTGTTGGTATCCCTAGTCCCAGGCTGTTTACTGGCCTCACAGAGGGTTCCCCAACTGAACCCTAGATGGGATGCTTAAGTGTCCCAGCAGCTCAAGATCTTACCAAAGTAAACTTCCACACGCAGTCTCCAGGCTCCCCAGGAGATTTCTCAGTCACCCAGTTTGGGAAAGGTTCTTCAGAGGTTTGTCCTCAGGAGTGGAACCAGTCTACGAAGCTGCAGAGGAGGGTGACAGCCTTTTCCTAACTCGCCAGAACTACTGGGTTTTTTTTTTTTTTGTTATTACTTATTTCTGTCATGCACCTTTGGAGAAAGAATTCCTTTTCTGTCTGTGATGTCCTTCCTTTAGACTTTGTAGAGAACTTTTCTCTGAGCAAAACTTTTCATATTTGGATTTGGGGATGTCATTTTAGCTTTAATCATTCTAATGTTTTCCCCTTGGGGACTTGTTCTAGTTATTGATTATTGGTTTAAATTAGTTGATTCTCTAGTCTCTAGTTGATTCTCAATGTCTTAGATTTAAGACATTGTATATTTAAAAATTTATAGGACATTATCTAAACACATAAACCTAAAGAGTTTTTTTAAACCTGTGGTTATTTCTATAAATTTGTATTTGTGGCAGTTTTAATTGGTACTGGGTTATTATTTTGTGTTGTTATGTTTTGTTTTTTGGTCACCAGGACTCAGCAGAAAGACTCTCCATGTTCACTGGAGAAGAGGAAATCTTTGCATTTCAGCGTACAATTTCCCGACTCACTGAAATGCAGACTGAACAGTACTGGAATGAAGGGGACAGAAGCAAGAAGTAACCACCACTTTTGCGTGAATAAAACTCCAGACAGATGATTACCAAAGGGAGAACTCTTTGTTATGGGACTTAAAAGAATCATTAGCTCATCATTAATTATGCACTTTGTCTTCTGGACCATTTTAACCTAAAATTACTGTCAAAGATGTAATAGATTAATAAGTTAAAGCCATTTGTATAGGTCTACTTTTTGCCTGTTTATTTGACCTACTTCCGTACCACAAAATTAAAATCAGCACTCCTGAAGATTAATATAGGACCAGACATTTGGCTTCATTAAGCCACCTGAGTGAATCTTGAATACACACACGTGCACATCTCCAAGCTTTGGCAACAGGCTAGCCATAGGATAGAAACACATCTTATATGAGAGGGGGAAAGAATTCTACATTTCAATTCAAAGCAAAGAAAGTGTTGTGATCTGATTATAAATTAAAGGGAATAACATTTTAGAATATGGGCTTATACAAGTGATTTTTGGAGGGCTATGAATTATACTGAATCTCCCAGACCTTGAAGTTTCCTCATAACAAAGAGTATATTTTTTACCCTAGGGTCAAACTTGGTAGCCAAGACTTGTTCTCCAGTGGACACAGAGTGGCCTGAAAAAAATGAGGATTATGACACCATAGAATAAGGAGCAAGAGTGTTGAATTCCAACTGACAGGCAGACCCCCCAACCCTGACAGATAATAATAGGACAGATACCAGGAATAGGGACCAGTGAGAGTGTGTTGGGAGGGGACAGAGTCCTGGACACAACAAGCAGCAAAGTGAACTCCTGCTCATCTGAGGACAACAGGACGCCAGTGGACAGCAGGCTCCCTCCCTGCTCATACACATTTGCTCTGGTTGCAGAATGCCACTCCCCAGCCTTGCCTCTGCTTCTGCAGTGAGATGGACCTGATAGTAAATAGGAAAGAAGAGCTGATGAATCTACTTAAATAAAATTTGATTTGTCCTTCATTGAGGTCATTGTTTGATTCATTCAAGTACAACCTTTCGTTGCCAAGAAAGGATCTTGGTTGAAGCTGTTATGAAAGTCTAAATCCCTTTTCAAGAAAAGAGAAAAAAAATGTGAAATCCACTAAATCTCGTGAAAATCAAATATTTTGGGGGGCGGGGTAGGCACAGGTAAGTCAGTTGATATAAATAAGTACAATCATCAACATATGTAAGCTCTTGGAACCTACTGAATTTATAAGTTAATAATCTATCCACATTGGTCTATTTTGAACGTTACTCTAAGTTAGGCAGATAGATGGATAGGGTACCCAAGTCTAGAGAAAAGTTTAGATCAAGGCCTCTGAAACTTAAATGTGGTTAAAAATATTTTTAATTGAAGTGAAACAGTGAGTTAAAAAAGAGATTGAATAGGTTAAGAAGGAGAAAGAATCGTGTGTGCCAGATTTGTTGCTAGACACTTATGTGATCTCAGATAAAAAAAATTAATCCTAGAGTTAATATAATCACCCCTGTTTATACGTAAGGAGACTGAGGCTTAGAAAAGTAAAGCATCTTAACCTGAGATTCACAAGTTTCCAAATATCGTGCACTGTGTTTTGTACCACACCACCTCTATAAGACATTTTAAATATTCTTTTTTTTAAAACTCGTTGAAGGTTAGTTTGCAATAGGACCATTGCTTTGAACTCAATAAATATAAACTTTATGCTTTTTACATTTCTTTGGCAATTATGCTGTACCTTCATTAAAAGACAGTGTGAATGGACGGACAAACAGATGGACAGCCCGATAGAAACAGGAACTGTCCCTGAGTGTGTGGGAGTATGTGAAATAGTCCCCCACTCAAGTTTTGCTGTGAAAGCTCATTTGAGGTTAGGTATTTGGAACTAGAATTTCACTTTTCCATAGAAACAATAATGTGATGTTAGTTAGGGCCCTGGCTCAATACACAGAAGCCTGTGGAAGCAAAGTAGCTGCCCTATAATTTTTGTGTGAAAGAACTCAGTTCGGGTTCCATGGGAGTACTGGATCACGGCCACACTATTGTCCCAGCTCCTATGCTCCCCCGCCTTCTTTCTGGGCCAGGGGTTTTCTGAGCTGGGAGTGGGTTTTATGCAGGAAGAGGGCATGCTGCAGGGGTTTGATGTATTGGCCTAGATGCCAGGAAGGGAGAAGAGGGAGTTTCACAGTAGCTAGGTGGAAACGATACATCGTTATCCCCTTCTCCTCTCTACAATTTTGTTTCATAAAACAGCCTGTGAGAAAAAGAAACAAAAGTCTTAAATAGCTATCAGGAGGAAACAATAAGATAGCTCTATTAAAAGAAAATTAATGCCAGGATGAAGCATGAAAAAAAAAATGACCCCTAGATTGGAAAGCAATGTTCAATTCATGTTTTTCTTCCAAGTCTTGCCCTTGTTACATTCTCAGCATTCCAATCTTTCTTTGGGATTGCATGAAATCTCTCAGAGCAAATGCTCTTTTTTTGTGAATGCTTTAAATTTACACTTGATGATGGAGATTTCAACTGAGTATTGCTGTGGAACACTCTTGCTCCCCTAGAAACTCACCAAGGAAGTCTCTGTAGTTGGAAAAATGCCAAGGGCACCCTTTGAAAAGACCAGTAATCCCCAAACTTAGAAGAAATCATGTGCAGAAAATGGAAAACTTTTCTTGAAAAAAAAAGAAAAATCTGATCACCGCTTTATACTTGTATTTTTTTAGGCAGTGGGTAGGCTTATTTGCCAACATCAGTAATAATGAAAAGAAAAACATGGTGGACTTAAAGAATTTTAACCTATTTCTGATGTTTATAAGCCCCAAAAGGCTATGGTACTATTCTAATCAAATTTATGCATCTTCGAATTTTAGTCATAAGGCAATACTTTAATCTTCCTGAGGTATATTTCCTGTACTTCCAAGTGTGCAAATAACAACTTTTAAATTATTTGGAATTTTGAAAAAAAATGAAAATTTTACTTGTAAAATATATAAGTGGATATGTTTGTATCCATTTATTTAACATTAAGAAATACATAGTGCTTAGTGTACATTGGACATGTATCTAAATGCTTTATAAATAAGCTATTTTGATTCTTATAATAATCCTATGAGATAGGTACTGTTAGCACCATTTTACAGTCAAGGAAGCTGAGGAACAGAAAATGGGTACAACCTACTGAATCGTGAGATGTACATTGGAGTCAGTAAAATGATCAAAATACAAATCTATTAAACTTTCCATGTACCTGCTTCTGTCCTGAAACCAGTCTCCCTACTCCAAATAATTCGAACCTACACTTGCAGCCCCTACGTTTGGGATAAAAACTCCCAGAGGGTTTGGGGTTCTGGGGCGATGACATTTGGGTTTCTGATCAATTATGGGAATCTGTCTTGGCAGCAAGTCTGTAAGTGACATCTTTATCAGATTCATTAGCCTCATAAGACATCACTTGCTGGTATAGAAAAAGATTTTCTTTGGAAATGAGTGTATAATTTTTTCTTAAGGCGGAATTAGGATTCGTTTTTCCCATTAGCATAGCAGTTCTTTTTCTTGGAGCAGATAATTAAAAATAACAAAATCTATCCTCTTGTCGAATGTCTCTTGACTCTGTACAGCTTGGTACTAGAAACCTCACATATGTTACCTCAGCTGGTCGCTCAGCCCAGTCACACCTGTCTTCTGACCTGTTGTTTGTGTCGATGTGAAACTCCAGGAGGACATCTGTCCATCTTTCTTGCTCACTCGGTAAGTCTTCCGGAGGTTGTCCAGGGAAGTCTCTCTCGGGGCTGTACTTTTAAGTCCCCAGCAGTTGACTGCTAATCTCTTTGATGGTGCCTGCTCTTCCCATCCGAGTATAGTAGGAAGGGCTCAGGATCTGGTTCTGCCAACTTTTGTTTTATGACCTTGAACTAGTGCTCTGAGCCTCATTTTTCTCATCTATAAATGAGAACAATGCCCATTTCAGAGTTATTCTGAGCATAGTTGGTGAAAAGCACTTTGCAAATAGTAAAGGATTAAATGAATAGTCATTTAAAATTATTATGATCATAAAGCAACAATAAGTGACTGCTTTGTATTATAGACCCTTGAGGAATGCAAAAGCGTAGATGACACATCTCAACCCAGTATGGTTCCTGGCAGAAGGGAAAAGCTTAACATTAAATGACTGGACACCAAGGGCACTGAATTCTAGCTTAATGATATACTGTGAAGATTATTAAGTTCAACTCCATTCTTTCAGGATTCTGGAGAAAATGGATTGTTTCCTGTTTGGTGAATGTCAAAGATTTTGCAGAAAGAAAGCACCATCTTGTGGTCAATAACACAAACTGACAGAAAAACAGTCCAAGAATCACACAGGGTTGAACAGTGATTCTCAGAGCTGCCTGTTCCCAGGCCTGGGTCCCACCCTGAAGAGTCGGAGGCAATGGTCAGATGTGGGGTCCCAAGACCGGTACTCATTAATGCTCCCATAGGATTCTAATGTGCAGCCAGGGTTGCTAACTGCCGATTAGGAGCTCTTGCCCATGATCACACAGCCAGTAAGCACAGGACAACTACAGCGAGGTGTCCCAGCTCCACACCAGAGCGCCTCCCAGGGAGCAAAGGCTGCTGCTTGGAGATCCTGGAGCCAGGCACACCAGGGCATCCCTCGGGGCTCCCTGCTGCCTTCCAGAGCCTGTTCCTCTCCTTCCTCTGCTTCTCCTTCCCTAGACTCTTCTGCCTGTCTTCTTCACTCCCCACTGAAACTACAGAATAGCTAACCCAGCAGTGCTTGCTTGCTTCCTTACAAAGCATTTGCTCCTATCCTATCCTTTCATCCACAGCAATTCTGAGAGAGATGTGATTATCCCTACTTCTAATAAGGAAATGAAAGCCCAAGATAACACAGCTGGGAAACACATCTTCTAGACCCAGACCCTGTGCTCTCAGGCCTTCTCCTGCTCTGAAGCTTTTGGCACTTTGCCCCCTCAGCCCAACCCTCTTTCTCTTCTAGTGTCAATGAATGAATACTCGGTTCTCCCCCTGCCTCTAACCTCTTTCTTTTCTGAGTGCTTTTGTCTCCGTTTCCTTTTTCTTATCTATTAAGTTCTTTCTTGGACCTCTTAAAAATGGTGATTATAAAAACAACATCGAATATTATACAAAGTACTTTTATACATATCCGTCTTCAAATTCTTTTCCTTATCACCACAGCTACAAATAATACTCGATG